TAAAAGTAACCGCCTTGAGAAGTATGTGCATATGGTTTCCCCAAAGCGGATGTTCTTTGAGGTCGCTTTTACATTCTGGGAACTTCGACGAAAGAGCTTGTCAAGTTTGGAAAATACAATAGTCCATTGGCTCAGTGTTTACAATCATTGTTACTGGAGGGTGTGCGAGAAATGTCTTATTCTTCCAAGATTTCCTATGTTGCACTGTTTCTGAATTTTGGCATTATGAAACATGAGTTAAGGAGAGCGTCGATAGACCTTTTTCGGCTAACATTTCGGGTCCTTCGCTTTTGTCAGAACCTGATCCTAGTTCGGCGGACTTTCATAATCGCTTAAAATTTGGTGACAATACAAACATACCAGCTCATTACTTTCCAAAATTATTCACTCGCATTCCTCATGCCAGTCTACGCCTTAATAACAAAAAAAGAGAAACATTTATAGTTTCATTATCTACTTCTACTACAATTTAGGTGTTTGCGATGTAATGCGAAATAGCTCGTAACATATGACAACTTTTCTTAAGTTCTGCCGCTTCTTGGGAAATCTTTATCAATTGATTGACCATACAAACAGGGAACGTAGTAATCTAGGCGAAATGGGCGTGCTTGGATGAGAACTGATAAGTCTGTTCACTGTTACTGCACACCTAACTCGCAGTTGAGAATGGACGGGCACGTCGTGAAATAGCTTTGGATGGGGAAAAGTGAATTGACGCGAGCCAATAATGGAGTAATTTATAGTTGACGAGAAAACTCTGTGAAAAAAGAATTACAGAAGATTTTATGCCCTTAAATAACCAGCCATCCCCTAGTTATATCGCACTAGTGTCCTAGTTTCGCTATTGAAGAGAGTTGAAGTGCAAGTTAACTGCATGTGGGGCAGATGCGGCGAGATAGTGTAGGATTGGAAAAATGCAGGTACAGCAATGCCCATTTCGTCCAAAAGTCCTATGGAGGACTTTACTTGGTTATAGCCAACAAGAAGGGGGCTGACATTCCAGGATAGACAGTTGGTCCGGCAATGGGGCATCAGACACCATCGACTAGGAGGCTGACGCAGTTCAAGAAAGGCAATTGGCCCGCAAAAGGCTTTGTGCCATGGACTAGGGGCTGATACATTCTAAGATTTGCGGTTGATCCGCGAAGAGGTACACGTTGTTGTTGCTATCGGTTGATGGAAATCAAACAATACTTTCTCACTATAACCACGCAAGATCACAATTTAGCTACTGTTGTAACTCTATCTAAATAGCAACACTGGGGGAATGGAAATGTTGCAATGCTTAATCTTATGCTTTGTTTGCTAATGCTATTTCAAAGGAGAAGTGCTGCGTAGTTGAAGTAGTGGTAGTAGTCACTAAAGAACAGTTATCATGTCTCGCCGCTAACCCTTAAAACGCTTTGTCAAACAAACCGTCTTAGCCTAGTGGCGTTGATGCGGCATAAGGTGCATAAAGGCTGATCTTATGCAACGACCTGTCATCTTCTCTGCAAGCCCATTTACCTTTATAGTTTGGTCGTTATTTCATAATATACCTACGCGTCGATGCGAATAGACGATGATTGTTAACTGTAAATGGGCAAATTACTACCACCCAGGGATTTGTAGGCCTGAGAAATTTGTTATTCAATTTCAATTGCTACCTCAAAAGGAATCCACAATCCAAAAGTATTCACAATCGGCTTTTTGTTTTTATGTTTACGACACATGAAATGCAATTCAATATATATTTCTTTGCTTTTTTCTCCTCGGTAACAAAATGTATAGAAACGCTCATTTGGAGCAAAATGTACTTTATTTTTGGTATAGGTGGCTCTAGGTACACTTCTTTAACTAATTTGTAACAAAAGCCAAGACTCGATAATATAACAAAATAGCGTCATGATTCACAGAAAATGTTCCTGCAAACACTACGTTCCCATTTTTGATGAAAGCTCGTCGAAAGTTTGGGATTTTTAGACAACTTCGCCTTTCCGTGAACATTGGGTGGCATTTTCACATTATAGTGAGCTGTCATGTGCTTTAAAAACGGATTGTTTTCAACGTCTAGCACTGTCGCGTTCTCTGAAATTTGCATTTTGGATAAAAATGTGATAGGAAGACCCAAATTGTACAGATTTGTTCATCAAATTTGCTACAATGTTCATGACGATCACGCCCAAATTCACACCCATAACTAACATTATCGTATCTGGAAATTGCATAGTATGGGTCTAAGCAGAAAAACATTAGTCCGTCTCTACGGAGTCATTCTGAAGATTCAAATTTTAAAGTCTATATGGACGAGGCCACCGAGCTCAACAGAACAGGGCGGCGAGCATGGTAAAGTCTCCAGTTTAGTAGACGGTTTAGAATACACAATAAAAACGTAAGTTCTAAGCCATTGCAGCTGCTTCTAGTGATGTTATGAAAAAGTAGTTGCAGAGGATGAAAAGTCCCTGCAGAGGATGAAAAGTTATGAATCTCTTAAAAATTCTGAAAAGTAAATAGTTCCTCGTAAAACAATGCTGCCTGCTCTATATCAAAACAAGAAAACCCTACCTCTTTAACAATCCAGTGCTCAAATAACTACAGAGCCTTTTTTTAAAAATTATTTCAAAACAGTAATTGTCCAAGGATCCAGGCAAGAAAAGGTCAGATGTCTTTGGTAATAGAGATCAAAAGAAAGTGGAATACAGGGCCAATTAGTAGGAATATACATCTCTCACATACTTTCGTCATGTAAACTGCCAAAACAAGCATAGCCAGTGAGATACTTGGTACAATTAACCAATCGGTTTAACTAATTGAGCATCTCACGCGTCGACGAGTGCTATCGGTACGCGATCAATTTACTCATCTGAAATTGTCTTCGGTCCTCGCCACTGTTGGAACTAGTCTTTTTTTCCGGTTAAGCTATCTTATAAGAGGGCAAAGTGTGCTTCGAGTACATATGCCTTCTCTAGTTCTTAACGGCTGACTACATGCATGTGGGAACTGCAGATGGGAACAAGACATTTGAAGAACGAGCAAATAGAGTATCTGAAATTGTATTCAAAAGAGAAGGACTAAATGAGGTGAAAATTGACGACATGCTATGCTTTTTCTTCCAGAAAAGATGGTTAAATTGCAACTTTCTTGAGCCAAATCATGGTTTTTTGTATATTGCTTTATAACACGAGGCTACATCAGTGAGTAACGTACTATACTGGATAAGTATAGTACGTAACTCACTGATACAGCCTAGTGTTATAGCGCGAAAGTTTCAAATCTTACCAAAAATATTGATCTTCTTCAAATTAGGAATATATAAGCGTTTGTACTGTGTGTTGACAATTTTGAGGCCGAAGTTGATTTCCTCGATTTTTTTGAAAAGCTCCTCAAACATATATTGTGGCAGCTTCGAAGCATCGAAATATGTCGTCGTTCCACCAGCAAACTGCAATTTTTGCACACCGCTACATGTGTTCACGAGATGAATGTAATCGCTTTCCTTTTCTGGAGGAGGGAAGTTTTCACAGTCTAAATAGGAGCATTTGTTGGGGTTTCCATATGAGAAACTGGTTCAAAGCATCTCCACCTGCTTTAATATCATCTGCGGATTCAACAAGATTTTCTAAAAGTTTCAGTGATGTTTTTACAGAAAAACGAAACACCTAGATTTTCTTCAATTACCCCCTGGATCTTGCAAATCACATTGCAGACAGGTTGCTAACATTGCCATAATATTTCTCGCGCTCAAAATATGGTTCCCTCTTATCCTAAAGCTTCTGTCTGATGTGAAAGTGCACGGAAACACCACCTCTTCTAAGAACGGATTATTTTCGAGCAAGAGAGCGTTTTCTCCTGCAAGAGAGCAAAAGCTTAAAATCAAAAATAGCAGATATATCGATGCTCACCTTCATTACAAGCCTCGATGTGCTTTAGATGAGGAAATCTTAGTTTTCTATGGTAAGTACCAACAGATCTGATACATATATAAAGTTGTTCCGATTTTCCAAATAATTTCGAAATTTGACGTGAATTAAGCAAAGCCAAATCAATCATAACTTTCACCCCTGGTGCTCCTTTGATCACGGTTTCATTGCTACATTTATCCACAAATTCACTTATATCGTTGATTGGTTCTGCTATTCGACTGCACTCTGAGAAAAAGTTTGAGATACAGATGACATATGGAAACTCAGTTTGATTAGCTTTTCAATAGGGAATCATCATTGGATTTTTGTAATAGAAAGAAGTTGTTTTGATATGGTCGGTGCGCTTTCCTTATCTTCGAAAACGAAAATGAATTAGTAATTAGCATTGGAATAATAATAGTACCTGTATCTTTGTGAACTCGACATCCTTTTTTCACAGGACACAGTTTGTGAACGTTAGCATATGGTGGTGTGTCGTGAACATGCATATCCTTGCCTCGTCCATTTCCAAAATAGTACGTTTCGACGACAGTGTCATTTGGCTCGGACGTTATAGTCTGAGTTGGTGTTTTGAGATCAACCAAATCAGCATTATTTTCAAAGCGAAAAGATGGCGAGCCTTCTGAAATGTTTGCTTAGCCAAGTTAGAGGCCTTAGTCGTCTTTTCAAACTTCACGCTTACCTCGTACATGAACTTTTTGAAGTTTTTCCAAGGACGGTTGAACAAAATTCGTGTTCTGTATATGGATACTCATGCGAATTTCTTTAGCATTACTGAATAGCTTATTAAAATCATTTTCTGATACATGCTGTGCATCAAACACCCATGGAATGTCGTCCATGAATCCAAGTTTATCTACTCCAGCGCAATCCGAAACGAATTTGGAATAATCTTCTTTAGTTTTGATTGAGGGATAATTCCAGCAATCTAAACAAGCACAGGATCTTAAAGAATATATATGTTTATACTCAAATATAGCAGCTAACCTGTAGCGACCATTATGTGAAAAGAGATTGTAAAGTATAAAAATGTATAGCAATTTGTCAAGCGCATCTAAAACCTGCACTTATAATTGTATTAACAAGGTAGTTAAATGGACAACAAAACTTTTATCTTCGCAACAAAAGCGTCACACAAAGAACCGATTTGTGGATCTTCTGAAAAGGAATTCCTATCACTGATCAGTGCAGTTCCAATTATAAGCAATTAAGAAATATAGATTGATTTAAAAAAGATCAGCGTTAAATATAGAAAAGATTTTTTTGTATCTTTTAATATCCAAAAGGCCATATAGCTGAAGCGAGGCTTTTTTTT